ACATATATATACAAATGCTATTGATTTCGAGGTGGGGTAGGTAGCTGGTAAATGTTTGTCAACTTCAAATTATTGTTTATAATGTTATTATATTAGTACTATATATATATATTGGAAAGAGTAGCCCAAGATTTGGCGGTGGATGGTGTTGAGTGGTTGTATTCTCTCCAGTCTATCACATCAAAACTGGGGACAGCTAGCGCAGATAGCCCTCGTGTAGCTTTGCGCGAAATTCAAAATAAATCCAACCAAATCCAATCTGCTAACCACTGAGCGTCATAGCTATTAATAATAATAATAAAGTAGGAAAACTCTTTCTTCGGAATGAATTAGAATAAAGTTTGGTATTTGTACGAAACTAAATAGAATAGGTTTTGAAATCATATTCACGGGCACATATGTGAGCATGCAAAGGATGCAATTCCCCCCCCCCCCCCGACCATAAGGCTTAATTTCCGAAGGCCTGGCATGACCTAGTGGTTAGGGCAGTCGACTTGCAATTTGCTGGTCGAGGGTTCAAACTGCATCACCGAACATGCTCACCTTTTCAGCCGTGGGGGCTTTTAATGTAATGGTCAATCCCATTATTCTTTGATAAAAAGTAGCTCAAGAGTTGATGGTGGCTGGTGTTGACTCTAGTCTATCAATACTGGGGACAACTAGCGTAAATATTCCTCGAATACCATTGCGTGAAATTCTACAAACAAATTATCTTCCGCTTCCCCGAATTCACATTAAACCTTCTAAATTTTAGTATTTTGCGTGTAGTTTGGTTCTTTCCCTTTATCGTTGTACCGAAATCCGTATTTTTTATTGCTACCATCTTTATTGTTTCGTTTTCCGCATACCGTAATCCAAGATTTCCGTGTTAGTTCCTTGACTTTCCAACAGACGACTCTGGATTATTTCTGTTAAAAGGTATGAAAATGGATAAATATTTGGTAAGACTATAGTAGAGTGTTTAGTGTGAAAATGATAGTTTGGATATCACTGGTGATGAGGATTGCAAATCAGTGGAGAACAATAAAAGGAAATGGCAGAGCGTTCAGTGATATATTCCTTCAAACATCGCTACAGATTTGAGTGTGGTAGGTGACTCTTTCCCGTTTGGATACAGAGACACGAGCAAACCCACGTGGGTATTACTAACTACAGACCTTCACTCTGAGCTTGCGAATTATTTGGACTACCTGACTGACAGGATAAAAACTGTACGATTGATCTTTATTTTGCATTTTATAATAATAAAGTAATACCAATACTTTGATTTATGTTGCGTTAGAATTATCCAATTATATTTTGTAATGCCTTATTGTTAACTAGTTATCATAATAATAATATTGTTGATCTCCACTTTGCTTATTCTGCTGACAGACATATTTACATTGGCGCTATATTAATATCATATTTCAACTACTTTTTAGCGTATGCAATTTTAAAACCTTTTTTTTTAAACATTTGCTATTATCATCTTACTTGGTATAAAACCTCAACATTTATATTTATATATATATTGACTGAGTTAAAGTACATGAAATATTGCATATATCTTCTTCATGGTGAGATAACAAATAAAAATATATTATAAATGTTTGTTATAGATTTCGAGCAAAGCTACACGGGGGCTATCTGCGTTAACCGTCCCTAATTTAGCAGTGTAAGACTAGAGGGAAGGTAGCTAGTCATCACCACCCACCGCCAACTCTTGATCTACTCTTTTACCAACGAATATTTGGATTGACCGTCACATAATGACGCCCCCACGGCTGAAAGGCGAGCATGTTTGATGTGATGAGGATTCGAACCCGCAAACTGCGATTCGAGCTACCTAACCACCTGGCCATGACGGGTCGTATTATAAATGTAAAACGAACGAAATCTTTTAAATATTACGGTTTGAGTTAACGTAGAAAAGATTGTTAAGCATCACGGTTGCGAATGACAAGTAATCTAATCTTAAGATGTGAAAAAACAACAACAAAATATATTTATAGATTTTCAGAGCCATACACTATATCGCCAAAGATAATAAAATAGTACCAGTTGTTGTCTCTTTTCAGCACGAACCAGGCCATGCCAACAAGCATAACGGAAATAAGACTTCTGCCCAGAAGCCTAAGTTTGTACCAATAACAAGACTTGAAGATGACCAGGTCATCAGAGCTGCAGAATTTCACCCGAATGGCTTGTTTTATGCGACAGGGGCTAATTCGAAGGCGCTGCGAATATGTGCTTATCCGAAGATACACGAGATAAGGTTTGTTTTTGGTAACACTTATCTAACATAGAAAATAAAAAGGCTAACGCAGAAGCCGTTAATTTTAACATAGATGACATTTCACCGATTTTTTTTATTAATTTATGAATTGAATTTTGTTTTAGAAGCATGTATAAAATAAGAATTACGAAAAATTGTTTTGATACACTTCTAAGCTCCAACAAATACATAGAAATGCGATATTTTTATAGCGACATCTATAAAAAGAAGTTGTAAAATCTGAACGATATCCAAACATATTAACTTTTATAATTATACGTGCTTTTAGACTGTGATATTATTAATAACTAAATTATTATATTAAATTCTGAAATTTGAGCATCAAATTATATAATTTATTTTCAAAACCTATTTTAACATAAAGTAGGTACAACTTGGATTGATATTAAAATTCATCACTCCTGTTCGCAGAGAAAACTACGAAACACGCGAACCAGCGGTCTTGATGAAGAGGATGAAACATCATAAAGGCTCCATCTATTGTGTGGCTTGGAATGGAACTGGAGACCTGCTAGCAACAGGTTCTAATGATAAGACTATCAAACTGATGAGGTTTAATCAGGAAATATGTAACGTTGAAGGTGAGTAACTCAACTGGGTGCTTGTCTGTTGTAATTTTAAAATCACCTTTTAAATACCTATCAAATTTGAATATTTTAATTTTGCGCATTTTCGAGTAAGCCTCCATGCTCGTTGATAATTCTAGAAGCTGTATTTCTGAACGGTTGTTTAATATAATTTTACAAAATGTACACTTATTGGTCAAATCTTGCGACATATCTTATTGTTTCCAGTATCATTACTGATAATTCTGTTGCTAACCTACAGGTAGCGCAGCGGAGCTGACGATGCATAAAGGAACTATACGAGACTTGTGTTTCATGGAAGATCTCAGTAATCGTTCCAGTTTGCTGATCAGTGGTGGAGCCACGGACAATAAGATTTTCATCACGGACTGTGAGACAGGAATGACGTTTCAGACCTTTACTGGGCATTCTGGTGTGTTCTCCCGATACTCATTAGTGTAACACTAAATAGTAATTCAGCCAGTGATGACAAGTAATTCAAATTATTATTATTTTCTTCTGTTAGTTTAAACATTCAAGGACTGGCACTTATTTGAAAGCTATTTCATCACATGGCATTAAGTTGTTGTTTCGCTCTTGTGTACTTCTCTAGCAAAACCTTTGTTGTTTAAAGCATTGTTTGAACTATTGAACTTCAATATATATCATCAAACATATCCAATTTTTCAATTATGGTATAAGTGACAGTTATAATAACAGGTAGCAAGAACGTGAGACAAATTTACTATGTTGATACTCCTGAAATAGGGTGCACTTTCGTAAAATAGTTTAATGTTTTGGCACATTTCTTTTATCAATTTTAATTCTAAATCAGGACGTGTTTTTATTTAAGAACTCTTAAATTAGGCTATGGTATGTTTTTTTACAGTTAAAATTCCCAGACCTCGGCCAACATTCCCATAAAAAATCAGGTAAACTCCAGCCAGCAACAAAGTACAGGTTGACTATCACTAATCCGGCATCATCTGGACCTGGAGGGTGCCGGATTAGCCATCTATTAGGTTAGAAAACATCAAACCCACTAGCTAACCACCTCATCTTAAAATTAAAATATCCCATAAAACAGTACAAGTTGATTAATAAAGAAAAGATAATTATCAAATAAATTCAATTAATTTGTAGTGTACCTGTGCCTGTATTTCATTAAATTTTTCACATCTAGTGTAAGTCAACAGAACATCACTGCCACTTCCAAAGTGGCATTTACATGTCTTGAGGTGGAGGGCTGTCAGGAGTTTTCTTTAAGTTTTAATCAACGAAAATATTGGAAAGAAAACTTTCAAACGAGACTAAAGTATTTACCCAATAGTGCGTATCTTGCTTTACTGTATTTGAAATTATTCTAGCCGAAATTAGTGCCGGATTACTGATTGCCGGACTAGTGATGGTCAACCTGTATTTTAAGACTAAATCAAAAGCCACAAATAGCCCTCAAGTTTATGCGCAGTTTAACGTTATCTTCTTATAATACATACTCCGTCAGCTGTTTCTGAAGAGTACAAAAGTTTTGGTTACTACTTATCTTGTTTATCGTTTGCTTGGTCAGAATACTAGAATCGACAGATATCTTGAATCTATCCCACGGTAACTTACAGCTGAAAGTATTCAGACTCAACAAACAATACTTGCAATATTTTTCAGGTAAGATGATTCACGAGTTTGCCGTGTAATGCGAGTCCTTGTAATTATGGTATTTGTGTTTATTGTAGTAATGTGCTGAAGATGGAATCTGTATATTCCGAAAAGTCCAATAAATGTGTTATTCGTCACTTCGATGGTTCTGTTGTTCATCACCAGATTACGTTTTCCACTTCACAAATCTGTTGCAAACGTACTAACCAAGTAATATGGATATGAGGTTCTACAACCTATCCGGGCTTGTGAAAAAGCCGATTTCAAAATTTAGAAACGTTAGCTTGGACATCACGGTTTTTAAGCTTTTGTTAATTCGAGTGGTTAATTGTAATTATAATTTTTGTGTGTATTGTAGTAATTTGCTGAATATGGAGTGTATATATTTTGAAACGTCCAATATATATATGTTATTCATCACTTATGTGATTGAGTTGTTCATCATCAGAATACATTTTCTGCCTTATAAATATATTAGTATGACTAAAGTATAACAATATTGTACCTATACTGGTTACTCTGCATTATGTTAACACTCGTATGATTAAAGTATAACAATATTGTATCTATACCGGTTACTCAGCATTATGTTAACACTCGTATGATTCAAGTATAACAATATTGTACCTATAATGGTTACTGTGCATTATGTTAACACTCGTATGATTAAAGTATAACAATATTGTACCTATACTGGTTACTCTGCATTATGTTAACACTCG